CCTCCTTCCCCCTCCCATCCCCACGTTTTTCGTCAAGGCCAATAACTCCACCTAACATTTTGCAAGCTCTTAGTGGGACATCCTCACGTACGCTGACACTGAAGAAGGCGAAGAGCTATAACTAACCCGATAACACCCGCCAAAACGATAACCAGACTGATAACTGAAATGATTTTTGCCACATTTTTGTTTTCACTTTTTGTTGTTTTAGTTGTTTTGTTTGGGGGGGTTTTTTGTGATTTTTTTTTAGTTCGTCTTTTTTCCTGTGAGCACCTCCAGGAGTCACGTCCATTCACCGAAACCTTACATTTATTTTTAAAAAGGTAGAAACCGCTCGGAAGACCAGCGTCTGTGGTGTAGCGGTTAGGTGATTTCTGGCGTGAGCTGACAAAACATCTTTTTTTTTTTTCATTCACAGCAGTTTAGAGATAAAGAGCTTTTTCGTCAGCGTAACCGCTTAAAAAAGACTTTCTTCCGGCATTTGAATTCTAATTTGTTTTAAAAAAACAACTAATCACAGTTTCGCGTTGATTTTGTCACACAAGTAGGGTAACTGATAAGGCTTTCGATATAGCAAATTTAAAAAGAATTTTCTCCAAAAAGAAAAAAAGTCGTTTTGTCAGCTTACAGAAGATTTGACTTTGTATGCAGAAGACTAGCGTTCTATTCTCGTGTGGGAAGAATAAAGTAATTATTCTCGAGTATCCCTGTCTTTCAGCTGGGACGTTGTATCCCTCTCAGCCTGCTTTGCCACTGACGGGCAAGATCGAAGCCCGTCTTCTAATTCAGATGATCTAAATCGTTTCGATAAAGGCTTAAAACACCTAAATCTAATTAATTCCGTCCGGAAGCAAGCACACGTGCTTATGGTATCACGACTTCACTTTTAGTTTTGTTCGCCAAGGGCGGGGGATCAATTCTCGACTAGGTAGGAAACATGGTCGCTTTTAAACACAAGGGGGCTATCCCGGAAAAAGTTGTTTTGAGAAAATGGAAGGTAAAGTTTTTGCCCCTTGGTCAGTTTCATAGAAAGACAAGGAGAGTTTCCTCTACAACCAAACAAATATATACACCAATGAAACCAAACTTCCCCTATAGGTAGGGCAATGCCCACTTCTGGAGGAGGTCAAAATTTCTGGAAACCCCCGAAATATGGGTTAACCCGCTTGTCCTTAAAAGCGACCACATTATCTTTAAAGTATTTCCCCACTGTCAGATCTTGCCTCGGTGGTATAGTCACACAAAGGACACATTGGAGGAAGTTCTGGTTTTATTCTGTTCAAGTGAAAGTGGAGCTGTATATGCTCTGTTCGCAGGCGGAAGATCGTGGTCTGTTTCTTTCTCTGTAGGTGGTTGATATTGTCATTTCGTTTTGTTGTAGTCATATATTTGAAAGCTGCTCATCTGTTTATCCAATCTTGTTTGCTGTTGCTTTTAATGATTTGTTTTGCAGTGTTGTATGAAGTTCGAATGTTGGGTTGGTCCTGTCTAGATCCCATTTTGGCGAGTGCTGTGTTTTGGGAAAGGCGCTTTACGCGAAGTTTCCTCTCTCCACCCAGGTGGGAATGTGTGCCCAGCTGTAAACAGCGAAAGATTTTGTCCGTTTGTTAGTGTTTTAGTGCGTGTAACCCGCAGCTTGCACTGAACTTCCCGGGAAGATGAATATAATGTTTCCGAGTCGTGTTCTGGGTATGCAGGGGAGGTAATAGCCTAGTTGTAAAGCGCATAGAGCAGTTACAAGTGCAGCCACTGCAACAGGGATTGCCATTCTCGTGTCGGCCTGTTCAGCCACAACAAGCGCTGCTCTCGAGAAATCTCCTTCGGCGCAGATCCATGGTCTCCTGAGACTGAAGGATGCCATACCAGAGCATGCTGTAGAGCGTGGATATGCTATATTATCTAAAACGGCAATTATTGCTAGATCTAATCTATATTATTACTTATGAAATATAAGAAACCAGTTCGGAACCCAGGCATAGGCGGCATATGGTATGGCGATTAAAATTAGACTTTTATTCATGCGGGAGTGAAAGTAAAAATGTGCTGGCTGCCCTTGTTCTTAGTTACTTGCACAAGGGAGATACAAAGAAACACTCCTGGAACAGCGGTACTACGCTTGGCTCATCATGCGCAGAAGACGAGTTTTCATCGAGGGACCCTCTCTTGACTTGTACCGATTATGGCATAGATACCTGGCCGCGAAAGGATAGATCAAGACTGCCAAAATTGATATATTATAATCAATAGAAACATTGGCATCTCTGCTTCTCGGCCCTCTACTCGCGTATCCATATTAATTTTTAAGTATAATATAGAGTTAAAAATGCTGAGAACATTATGCCAAACGCAAGTTTAAAAGCTACAATTTCAATTTGCACCAAGTAGGAATAAATGGCAGAATAGATATTTTCTCGATTATTTCTCGAGGGTGCACTTATGAATTCGGGCTTTGAGTTGTATGTGTCGTCAAGTTTCGATTGCAGGAAAGCTGTTCGCATGAGGGCTCGTCTCTGTCTGGTTTTTTTGTTTTGTTTTGATTTTGTTTTTAAGGAGGCGGGGTTGTCTCACTTTGATTATCCTGTCAATCAAAATAGATTTCACCTAAGAATACACTTCTGTTTGATTTCTCCCCTTTGATTTCTATATCTACTTTCTGCTGATTCGGTTGTTCAGTTAGCAACAAGCTTAGTGCTACATGAAGCACGCGTGGGACGCTCTCTGTTAAAAGCAACCAGGAAAAGACAAATGCAACTGTTGGGACACCTGAATAGACATAAAGGTCTTGAACATCTTGCTCTCACTGGCAAAATTAAAGTCAAACGAGGCAGGGGTAGGCCAAGAGCTACCTACTTAGGGAACCTATACAAAAAGGGGAAAGGGGAAAGATCAGGGAAACGTAGCTTTTTTTTTAGAGCATCCGAGCAGAGGAATGGATGGAGAACCATGATCGAGGATGTCTGTCGCAGATCTGGCACTGGATGATGATGGTGATGATGATGATGATGATGATGATGATGATGATGATGATGATGATGATGATG